ATCAGCATCAAGTAAGTGGGAAGCTAAAATGTTCTTTCATTTATTAACTAGGAACTCAGGGGTTGAAGAGAACGAACAGGAGACGAAGAAAATGGAGATTAGGAAATGTAGGAGAGAGAAGTAAATGCTAGAGCTGGCAGGAAAAATGGGGAAGATTAGAGGTGAGTAGAGCCCCAAATAAACTTGTCACGGAGGGGCAGGAAACAGAACATTTGTCTCCATGAAAGCTCCTTTTCTTTCCATAAAATAGAAGCAGACTGTCTAACAATACTAATGGACTCCAAGGTGCTAAGAGACCACTTGTCCATACAGGTGTATAAGGCAAATTTTAGTAAAGAACTACTTTTTTTTTTGGTACTGGGGATCGAACTCAGGTCTTTGTGCTTGCAAGGCAGGTGGTAGAACCACTGAGCTAAATCCCTGGCTAAGAACTACTTTTTATAGAGAAATGATAGCTAGACTAGACCTAGTCTTCTGTCTTCATTCAGGTTGCTATTAAAAATATATAAACTAAAAAAAATATATAAACTGAATGGTTTATAGACAACACAGATTTCTTTCTCCAGTTCTGGAGTGTATGGTTCTGAGATTAGGGTGGTTGGGTCCTGGGGAGGACCCGCTTCTGATGTGTAGACTACTGGAGCCCCGTTGTATTCACACTTGATGAAAAGAAAACTATTTAACTCTCTGACTACTTCTTATAGGTACACTCATCTCTCTCATGAGGTTTTCACTCTTCCAACTTAATTAACTCCCTAAAGGCCCCTCTTGCAAATACCAACACACCAGCGCTCAGATTTCAATGTATGAATTTGGGGCGATACAAACATTCAATCCATAGCATTTTTCTTTTGGTCAGCTATCTATATATCAAGTAAGCCTGTCAAGTGGTTGAGCAATCATAATTTAGAAATACCACTATTCCTTGGGGACTGCCAACCTCAAGATTACAGTTTGGATGCAAAAAGAGAACATAAATCATCCAATACTGTGAACACAAAAGACTAAAGTTTTCCAATGGCCGTAGTCTCAAAATAATAGCTTTCTGCCTTGTGACTTTATCAAATAACTGATATTTTGCCTTTCTAATTAAATACTAGAAACATAAATTTATTCCATATTTATTATTTTCTGGTATTTTCCATTTATTTTCTTTTTCACTAAAACTGCACTCCAAGATATAAAATGGGGCCGTCAAATATCACAGAGCTATTAGGCATGCCTATTTCTGAGGGGAAAAAGTGTAATTGAAAGTAAGAAACTCAACCTGAGGGAAAAATTTGAGGCCAAATAAAAGGAATTTTTCAAATAAGACATTTAATTATATTCCCATCAAAACCAGACTCTGTAGCTTATTGTTTGCATAAACTACATTCAAATATATGTATATCCTTATTTTTCCTACTGCAACTTTAAGAATATTAAATGTTGGTATTGGAGGCCATCAGTACATGGATTTGGAAATCAATGAAATCATTCCAGCTGGCAGTAAAATATGATTATGAGTACAGGTTTTATGATCAGACTGCCTGGGTTCAAATTCTATCCCATTGTTAGGGCACCAGAACCTGGAACAAGTGGATCCCCACTACAAATTGGGTCAGGAGTTGGAGAGAACATGTTAAGCAGGACAAAAGTGACTTACTTCACCCTAGCCAGGAGGTAGCTGGTTTATCTTAAGCTAATATCAAAGAGTCAGGCACATTCCTGGCATCAGGGTCCAGTTGTAAAACTCTGCATACCACTGTAATGGTTTTACTTATCGTTTCTTGAGAAACTTCAGGAAAAACCAACTAGGGCTACTCAGGGCAAGTATGGTGTTTGCAGCTCAAGATGGCTGCTTCCTGTCAGGATAATGCATACAAGCCTACAACAGGGGTATTTCATGAAAAGGAAAGAGGTGGTACAGAGTTCCTAAAATGGGAATTTACTAAAGGGATGTTGGGATGCAACAGGGGCCAAGGTAGAGTGCAGCAGGTAAGAATGAGGGAAGGCAGAGAGTGCACCCGCTGTGGGCCATTGTGAAATCATGGTATGGTACTGAGTGGAATGGAGGCTGGTGGCCAGGCATTCAGTAGGGTGTAACATGTTTGCCTTATGTTTCTAAAGAGTCCATTATTGCTGTGCTGAGAATAAATTGTCAGGAGCAGGGGGAACAGGAAGACTGCCAGGTGCCTCTCCCATATTTCACCAAAGATGGGAGGAACCTCAGACTGGGGCCTGAGCCGGAGCAAGGGAGAAGTAGAAAATGTCAGTATGCATCCTGATATTATTTATTCATCAATCGAGCACTTATTGAATGCCTACTATTCGTCATGTTAGATTCTAACAGGAAAAATGGTTAGGAATATGGAAAGACACCACAAAAAAGAAGGGTGTGAAACGGGAGTGGAATGAGAAAACTTTTTTCCTGAAGAAAAGAGAAGAGAATAAGAGAGACACACAAGGGAGGAAACTGTCAAATCACTAAATGGTTTTAAAAAGGTAATTTAATTAGAAGTCTGTTAAATGTTAAGAAATGTGTTTCTAAGGCAAGGAAGAATGCCATTTTAATTCTTCTCAGAAAGTATGGTACCACCTATTTCTGGCTAGCTCTTTCAGCCTCCCCGCCCCCCTCATTTAAAATAAAACTGAACAATTCTCCCTTCTCAGACATCTGGTTGCAGCATGTGGATCATTTCAAAAGCACTCAAGAGCTGAAGTAGAACAAAGGGCAGGATATAAAGGGGAGAAGAATCCCACTGATCTGAAGGAAAGAAACAAGGAGCACTCAGTGAAGAGCCTAGTCCCACAAAATTCACTCAGCCCTCCAGCCAAGGTCCATAAAACATAACAGGTAAAGAAGTTAAACAGCATTTCAGAGAGCAACTAATGGGAAAGTGACTTAAGTGATAATTAGTGTTAACAATGACTTCATTTTAAAAGTACCTCGGATGGGCTGGATATTTAGCTCAGTGGCACCACAGCTGCCTCGCAAGCACAAGGTCCTGAGTTGGATCTCCTGTACTGGGGGGAAAAGGTGCATTGTATCAGTCTGGTCAATCTTCCATAACAAAAATACCACAGAAAGGTGGCTGAACCAACACAACTTCTTTTCTCTTAGTTCTAGAGGCCAGGAGGAAGAGGTCAAGGCACAGTAGGGTGAGTGTCTCCTGAGTTTTTCTCCATGGCTTGCAGATGGCTACCTTCACACTGTACCCTTAGAGTCTATCAGAGTCCTTGGTGTCTCTCTGTGTATCCAGATTTATAAGGTCAGCACCACATTGGATGAGGGCCCTTTCTATTGACCTCAGTTTAACTTAAACACCTCTTTAAAGACTCTGTCATCGAATACAGTCACTTCTAAGGCACTGAGGGTTAGACCTTCAACATATGAATTGCAGGAGATAAGGGAATAGCTAAAATTCAACCAGTGATAGTACTTAGTCAATTTCATTTAATTTGCTTAAAAAATGTTTTTTTCTATCCCTTAAATCTATGTTGGAGTTTATATTATAGCTTTAAAAAAGAATCCAAACTAATTGATGAAGCGTACAAATAAAATATTTTCACCTTTAGTAGAATTTTGACGAAGATATACTAAATATTCATTGAAGGTCTGTGAATTAGCTCAGTGGTGCAGCACTTGCCTAGCATGCATGAGGCCCTGTCCCCAGTCTCAATACTATAACCACTGTCTTTTATATTTTAGGAAACATAAGCATAATTGGTACAGAGAGCCTTGGGGCTGTGTATTATAAGCATAGACTCTTTCAGGTAAAGTACTTGGGTTGATTAGCTCCCTCTATTATTCTGCAAACAAAAGCACAACTCCGACTGACCATACCAACCATATGGTGCATAAGTCAGAGGAAGCTAAGGTGTACACAATATGTTCAGTTGGTTTCTCTGCCCCTCATCCCCTTGTGCGAAGGTTTGAACTCAGGACTTCCTCTATGCTAAGCACACATTCATCCACTGAGCTGTCTACAGTCCCTTGCACTCCATTTATTTCTTGAGGATAAAGTATGTCAGAAATAAAGGGAAAGAAAAATGTGCTACTTTTTTGGTTTTAAAATTTCTCCATGTCTTGAGAATAATTATGTGTTCATATCAAGGGTTAGCTGATGCAAGAGTTTGGGGGTATTAATTCTGTACTAAATCTAAAGTGGGGAGGAGTCCTTTGAATATACTGCAAGATGCCACTTCACATTTGTTACCAAATTTCACTCTATACAGCAGAGGGGATTTTATTTTGGACTAAGTTCTGAGAAAGAAGAATCAAAATATATATTACATTTTGTGGAAATGAGAATGTGCATTTGAGTATCGATTATGTTTTCTGAAAGCTTTTCTTTCATGCACAAATAAGTATTTCTAACTGCTTTTGCTCTTCTTGTTGAAGAAAGCATGGATCACTGAAAATAGAACTAGATCTAATGCTCTGACATGAGATTTTCAGAATCTTGATTTAACAGCTGCCCTGTGGCTCCTGTTTATTGTTTAGGGTATGGCTGCTTCCTTGTATTAATTTCACGTTAAGCAATGCTGCCAGCCAATTGGATTAGCCCATTTTTTCCAGCCTATTTTTTTCAAGTTGTGAACTCTAAATAAGTAATCTGTTAAATTATTTCACATGATTTAAAAATAGCAGGTCATTACCATCAACCACCAAATGGAGCAATTTAATTTTAAATCTTCTCTCTATTTGCTTACTGAAGAAATGGCTCTGTGATCAATTTGACCTTTTACAAGCATAATCGCCAAATAATTAACAATGATAAATGATTATAACCTGAAATATTTAAAACTAATCATTAAAGGACAGCATATATTTCTTACTAATCAGCAATCGTGTACTTTTCTATAAAAGATTAGATATACTTAGTTATTTCATGCATGGGTGAGTTCAGACTAGTTCCAGCCCAAGCAGACCAGGTCAGGTGTCACCTCAGCAGTGTTCCAGTTGAAGACACAGGAAGAACAAAGGTCCTGAGTCAGGAGCATGCCTGGTAGTTGTAGAAATTAGTCAGGACTCCAGGCAAGCTCGAGAGCAGGTGAGGTCAGACATTTGAAGGTATGTGTGTGTTTGTGTCTATGTTACAGCTTATATCTAAAATATCTCCTGTTTGGAAGTGTTGGAGGTTGGTTACTGGGGACAGGACCTGGAAAGGTGTATTCTTATTTCTGGCTCCGGACTCCTGTCTCTGCTGCCTGTCTGCCAGGGTCTGAGCAGCTTTTTTCCACCAGGCCCTTCCACCATGCTGTCTCTAGCTCGGAACCTGCCAAGCATGGGCTGAATCTGTAAGCCAAAATAAGCCTGTCTTCTAAATTGGAGGTGTCAAGTATTTTGGCCCAGCAATGGGAAAGTGACTAATACAGGAGGTCACAATGTGTAGGCTGAGGCCACAGCTATAACCAACTAAAGTTCAGCTTCTCCCTTTCCCTCATTTCCAGTGTATTTCCAGAAAGCATTCCCTGGTCCAGACACAACTCTTCACCTTAAGGTCTGTATGCTAGGGAACTCAGCCTAGGCCTTAGAGGGAATTTTGAAAGATATGTGGAGTCTTTGAAGATGTTTTGAAGATACTGAATCCTGAAATAGTTTTTCTTCCTCAGAGAAAAATCACAGAAGTTTCATAATTGCCGATTTCAGAGTATTCTTCTGAGTGTCCTTGCAATTATTACACGGGATGGGAAAACTCGGCTGTAACAGCTAAAACTTTTATGTTGGCTGAATAACTGGCATTTCCCCTTGTGTCTGAAAATGTGGGTAGTGGACCAACTCTTCGGCTGACGCAGAGTTCTAGTGTTCCTGGCTAAATCACAAATTCCTTCGTGTTACTGGCACTCTCATTGTTTTAAATAAAAGTAGGCACACCAAAGAGCAACAATGAAAAGAAAGTTCCTGCCCTGAAGGATTGCTTTTATTCTAGCCTTCTGTGAGCAATGTTATTGAAAAATGTTCAGTAATAAATGGCTTGCTCCAGCATACCTAAGAATCTTCATTGCCAGCACAACCAACATTTGTACGTAATGGTAAAGGGGATAAGGAAACGTCAGATGGGAAAACTATCTCCTTGCTAGTCACATGTGCCAACTTCCACGTTCAGACGTCCTGGAAATGTATTAGCTGCATTTTATGCCCAGCATTTTCATCTTTCAGATTTCACTGAAGAATTTCCATGTAAACAGGGAGCTCCAAATTCACATTACTTTGAAAAAAAAAAGTAGGAAAATGCTAAGTGGGTGGTAGCTTCACTCTCTCTTATGTGCATAAAGATGCCCTTTGTCCCTTGGTTCAAAATGTTAAACAAACTCAGCATAAAAATTCCTCTGATGCAAGAGCTTTTTTCTGAATACATATGAATTTTATATGGTTAAAGCTTTTCTAGAAACTAAAGTGTTAATTGTGCTTATTGTCTATGTATGCAGGGTTAGCCATTCAGACTTGGAAAAAAGATCCTTTTATAACATATTTATAAAGCTGTGGAAAGTACAGTGGTGGATCAGTCAGGATTCTTTAGAGGAACAGAATCAATAGAATATATTTAATTATAAAGGGGAATTATTAGATTAGTTTACAAGATTAGAGATTGGATAGTCCCAAAATGGCTATTTGCATGCTGGAGAGCCAGAGAATCCATAGCTGCTCAGTGTGAGAAGCTGTAAGCCTCAGAAGAAGGTCAAGGACACAGCCCTAGTCCAAAGCTCAAAGCTTGGAAGCACCCAGGAGAGTGTTTGGTTTTGTTTGTTTGTTTGTTTGTTGGTTGGTACTGGGGATCGAACCCAGGTTCTTGTGCTTGCAAGGCAGGCAGTAGGAGAGTGTTTGTTGATCTAAGCATACACTGAAAAGCTCAAGAAGCTACAGTCCGATTCTGCAGTGGATGGTAGCACCAAAAGATGCACTCACTCAAGCAGAATCGAGCTTACAAGTGCTGGCTGCCTTCTTTCTGCTTCTCCTCTTGTTCCATCTGAGCCCCATCTATTGGAAGTGCCACCCCCACTCACCCTCCTTCCATGTTGTCGCAGCAGGGAGCAAGGATAGCAGTAAGAGTAGGCAGATGCTAAATGCCTATCTGAATGCTTTTATTCACACAATGCACACTTCTACTAACTACCGCCCGTGGGTTGCCACTCCCTGTACTTGCACGGATCCAAGGAGTGCGACTTCCTTCGTCTGTAGGGTGATTTGTGGGTCACTGTCGGCTGTGGCCAGTGCCCTTGCCTCTGGGGGTGCACTCAGGGCTGGTGCCTCCCGATGTCCTGGGTCAGAGTCTTGGCTGTGACCTCGTGCAAGATCACCTATGCGGCCAGTGGCCACCAGGTCTCCTGGTCACCGAGTGTGACGAGCTGGTCTTCTGCACTCTCTTTTATACTGTTCTTCGTCTGTGTGGCACTGATTCAGGCTTATCTATCTATTACATTACATTACTTCACACACGAGGGTCTTACAGGTGCTTATCATATCAGGGGGCAGCTCCTACACACACATGTACACCCATTCTGCACTGACTCTGCAGGGGCTTTCCCCACTTATCAGTCTTGTTCAGTCATGGCCTCGGCCACAGCCTCAGGCTCAGTGACATCTGTCATTGGAAAAGGATGTAAATTATATAAAGAATTTTGCACTAAATGTTTGCTGTCCGCACACATACTGGCTCACAGGCCAGTGGTGAGCCACACCTTCACAGACACAGATGGAAGTCGCTTTACTCATCATAGCCGTCTCTTGAACCAGTCAAGTGGACAGTCGAGATTAACTGTCACAAGTCCAACCCTTGTCCGCTTGATATCAAACCCATCTCCTTAAACCAAAGTTAATCTCCAGATAAATAAAATAACAAGGTGATATGGCTCTCCTAAGTACAACCAAAAGTGCACTAATTCCTTCCCCCAAAGTTTCAATGATTCTGGCATGGTTAAAGGGCCAAGTCTACAGGCTTCTCTGAGACTTCAGGCAAACTTTTCCTGTAAAATCCCCCAAAACAAGTTACATACACTCAAGATCCAAGGCCACAGAGGAAGCATTCCCTTTCCAAAAGGGCAGAATGAGGAAATAGAAGGGATGGGAGCAAAGCAATACTGAAACCTAGCAAGGCAGACCTTAAATCCTGTAGCAGCACGCCGGGTACATGGCGTTGTGCTGTGAAAAGGGCTTGAGCAGCCCTGCTCCTCCCTCCTTCGTTTTCAGCTTGTGTGGTGTTTCTCTTGGGCTGATTCCACTCAGTGCCTGCAGCTTTCCTTGGCAGATGTTCCACGCTCCCGGCTTCTCTAACTTCCTGGGGTCTCCATTGTGGCTTCAGCATTCCTGTCCCAGCTCCATGCATTGCCATCGTCACAGGCTGTCCACAGGGAATCTCAACCCTGTCTCGCACTGCCTGGCCTGCCAGGACTTCCTCTGAAATCTCAGTGGAAGCCTCCACAGTGCTCCATCACTTGCATTTTGCAGACCTTCCAAACCAGCACCATGCGGGTGACCCCGAAGGTCTGCAGCCAGCGAGCAAGCTGGTCTCCTTCAGACCTTGGTTGTGCTAGGTCTCCTTTGGACCTCGGTGACATGAGTCCTAAGGATGTATGAATTTTCAGCACAGACTCACACCAACAACTCTCCTGTGTGATCAGGGGTCCCTGGTGGCTCTCTTCTCAAAGCAAGTTCTTAAAAAAAGAAAAGAAAAAGAAAAGTTTACCCTTCTATACCCATGAGCCTACTGTGGGCAAAGGCTGGATAATTTCTGAGTTGCCCTCAAAGCATTTTCTTAATGTTTCAGTGCAAAGTGCTTTTTTCAGGGGGCTGTTTTCTTAATGCCTTTTCCATTTTTTTCTTTTTGTTTTATTAGTGAATATTAGGAATTCAGAATAATGAGTTTTGTTTCTTGAAACTGGTACATGCATGTAACATATCGTGATCATTTTCAATTTCACCCGCCCTTACTCCCCTCCTGGATCCGCTTCTCTGTCTCCAGAATACTACATTCCCTGTCTTCTCTCATTTATGTCTGTCTCCTATTAAACATACGATCTTCTTCTGTTCCCTTCCTTTCTCTCCCTTTTCTTTTCTTTCTTCCAGTACACTGCTGGGAATGGAACACAGAGCCTCCTCCCTGAGCTACATTCTTAGCCCTTTTTATTCTCTACTTCCAGAGAGGGTCACACTACATTGCCCAGGCAGGATTCAACCTTGAGGTCCTGCTGGCTCAGCCTCCCAAGTTCTGGGATTACATACATGTGCCCCTGTGCTCAATTAAACTTTTTAACTTATTTCACTTCACTTGATGGTCTCCAGTTCTATCCATTTTCTTGCAATTGACACGATTTCATTATTTCTCTGGCTGAATAATATTCCGTTATGTGTATATACCACTTGTCTTTATCAATTCATCTGCTCATTTGTCATCTAGGCTGTTTCCACAACTTAGCTGTTGTTAGTTGCACCTCCAAAACATGGGTCTATATGTATCACAATAATATGCTGACTTTAATTTTTTTACCCAGGAGTGGAGTAGCTAGATGAAGTAGCATCTCAATTTTTAGTGTTTTGAGAATCTCCAACCTGCTTTCCAGAGTGATTGAACTAGGATTACACTCCCCTCAACAATGTAGGAGGTTTCCTTGTGCCCTCAACCCAACATCTTTGCTAGCAGTCTGGATTTTTTTTTTTCAATTCTTGATGATAGCCATTCTGATGGAAGTTAGATGAAATTTCAAAGTAGTTTTGATTTGCATTTCCCTAATGGACAAAGTTGTCAAACATTTTTTCGTATACTTTTTGGCTACTTATACTTCTTCTTTTGGGAAGTATCTATTCAATTCATTTGCTTATTTATTGATTGGATTGTTTTTTGTTTTTGGGGTTTTCGTGGTACTGGGGATCAAACTCAGGACCTAGCGCTTGCAAGGCAGGCAGAGGCGCCACTGAGCTAAATCCTCAGCCCTGATTGGGTTATGTTTTGGCATCAACTTTTCTGAGTTTTTTGTATATTCTAGTCATATTAATCTATCAGAAGAGTAGCTAGCAAAGTTTTTCTCCCATTCTCTAGGTTTTTTTACTCTGTTGATTATTTCTTTTGCCATGCA